CCAAACCCGCACGCACCCGCACACTACGCCGCCCCACCCATACTCCCATTCCCCCCCCTCCCAGGCAAGCGCCCCGAGCGCTCTCTGGCGGCCTATGGCGCGTACCTCCGCAGCCTGCCCTTCTCCAATGAGCAGGGCCTGCGCATGCTCATAGGCGCCGCCGTCAAGGAGGGCGCGGCGCGCGGCGCGGTGCTGCGGCCGCTGTTCTCATACTACAGCTTCCACGGGTGAGCCGCCCTCGGCCGCGGTCGCCTGTTGTTGGTGTTTTCTTTCGTAGGAGTTGACGCAAGCCCGGACGTGCGCGCCCGTTTGTGGTGCGGTTCAGGCCGCTTCAAAGGCCTTGGAACGCCGCCCGGATCCTTGACACGACGCGCCCAAGACAATCAGTCCCCTCGGCACGTCCCCGACCGCCCGCGACCGCCCCCAACTGCTCGCAACCGCCCCCAACCGCCCCAACCGCCTGCAGCCCCGTCTTCCGTGTGATGCTGGAGGTCCGCCGCGGCAAGGCGTGGCCCTCAGAGCACTACAGCTTCGTCGGCCACTGCCACGTGCACGGCGACACGCGCCGCGTCGGCTGGCGCGGCCTCGGGGACGCCGTGTGCACCTGCTGCCGCGGCGCCCACGGCAGCGCAGGCGGCGGCGGCGGCGGCCGCTCGACACCGCTCGCGGTCAGCGGGCCGATGTGGACGGGGCCGCTGCACGACCGAGGGTTTGTCGAAGCGATGGCGTCCGAGGCGGAGCGGCTGGGGTGGTCTGGGCACGCCGTGCCGTTGGACAGCGTGCACCGAGAAAAGTCGTCCAAAAACAACAACCAGCGGCCGCTGGAGGACCTGCTGCAGCTGTTCTGGGACGAAGCCGACCCGAAGCTGCCGCCCTGGTACGTCCCGATCGACGAGATCGCGAAGCGCCTAGATCGCAGCCCCTCGAAGGATGAGCTCATCCACGCGCTGCGGGCGGAGGGGTATGCCGCCTCCGGGTGCCACGTGGACCGTAAGGCGCTGCGGACAGATGCGAGCATGGGCCAGGTGGCTGAGGTGGCGCGGGGCATCGGTTACACGCCGCGCGACTGCTGCGGCGGCGGCGGCAGCGGAGGCAGCGGCGGCGGCGGCGCGGGTGCGGTGGGCGAGGCGGCGGCGAGGGGTTGATGACGTGGCCGGCCGGGTCCGCCCGAGCGCCTGCTCTGGTGAAGTGCTGTGCTGGCTGGCGTTTGAATGTGTGTGACTGCACCCGTTGTTGCGTGTCATCGCAGAATGCCGCGCGCGTGTAACCCCAAGGCAGGGTCTGCATTTTTGCACAGGTGTGTTAGGTCAGGCATGGAGGCGGCCTGTGTGAATGCCTGTATCCCCTGCCACACCCACCTGGTGACAAATCGCTCGCACGTGCGGTGCCGATGGCAGCCGACTTGCCATTTTTAATTCGAAACCAATATGAAATATCCTGCAACCAGGGTAAGAGCTCGCAGACTCGAGAGTTTGGCGGGATGGGGTGCAGGACAGCGCTGTCCAGCACCCCATTAGCAGTTAGGGCCCCAACGGCTCAAAAAAACCTGAAGCATGTCTCACAGCACACGCGTTCGCGATCCATCTGCATACTGTATGCATGCCCCACGCACCTTTCCAGTGATATTGAAGCCGGACAAGCGGGGCGTCACGCGGGGAAGTGTACAAACAGGGATGACGGACTTGTGTGCTGTGAGCAGGCGCACAAAGCGGCCCTTGCTGCTTGCCCTTGCGTCTCAGTCTTCTTTGGTGTTGTGCAAGCATCAAAGTACACAGACATCCTAGAGCCCGCAGTAAACACAGCCCGTCGCATCAATTGCTGCAAACATGACAGGCTGCTGGCCCAAATGTGCAGGGCGTGACGACCATTACAGGCGGGTGTGATCACACCAAACGTGCAGGCGGCAATTGCGACATGGGCACGTCCATGGATCACGGAGGCAAACCACCGCTGGCCACTAGCGGGTGGCGCCGATGCTTGTTGAACGCCAATCTGCCGGGCGCCGCGCGCAGCCAGCAGGCTTCGCCTGCGTGACGCGTGCCAGTTTGGGACCTGGGCATAAGTGCGGCGCGACCGCTGCAGGTCCCTCATCCCGCCAATCCCAAAGCGCTACGTGCGACGCAAACCCACCCCACCCCCACCCAGCTTTGAAGCGCTGCTGTGATGGCGCGCTACAGTAGGAAAAGTGGCAGCAGCGCGCCTGACCTGTTCAAAACGGCCTGCAAGCCAAACAAGCAGCGGTGTATGCGCTCCTGGTCAGGCGGTCGCCGCTCTCGTCGCAGTATTCGGCGATTGGCTAGTGTGCCCCCACTGTCGTCCAGGCAGGCCGGCCACTGAGCAACCGTGTCGAGTCGGGCAGCCCCAAGCAGGGAGGCAGGACGCACGCGCTGAAAACAGTATTGAATTCGCTGACAGCGGGCGGCAGCCGGCGCGCACGCAAATAAGCGCCCAGTGCCTTGAGTCGGGTTGCATGGGGTGCTGTTCGCAAAAGCAGCCGGGGACAAGCTTGAAGCGCCTGCCCCAGAGGTGGCGGTGGGTGCCTCGCCTGCAGGCTTCTTGCGGCGCTTGCTGGTTTCTGGTCCGATGCGTTTGCCATGCGGTAGCTTGAGGCAGCGTTTCACGGCTGCGCAGGCCGCTGATTGTGAAAGAGGAGCAAGCCAGCAAAGAAACCTCACTGCAAAAAGAGAGGAAATGCGCCTTGAAACAGCGTCTGTGCCGGCGGCAAGTAACAAAGGAAACACTTGCACAGCAGGGGTGCCTGCTTGGCACGCGGCGCACCGGTATGCCTCTGCACCGGGACAGCAAAAACAGCCGGCGCCCGCTCCAAGATGCTGTTGCGCACGAGTTCAAGATTTGGTCAACCCTGGGGCGCTGGAAGCCGGCCACCCGCAGCGCGCACGTGAGATCGCCAAGTGCCGGCGTCAGCCACGCCGCTCGCACAGATTGACGCGATGTGCCAGGCACAACTCTTCCCCGACCTCTACCCCCCCCCTCAGCCGCCTGCTGTGTCACCAGCCTCCCTGCGAGCCGTCCCTGCGTACACGCCGCCCGTCCTTTCATCCACACGCTACAAACGCCAAACATGCCTGCGGACAAACACTCACGTCGCATCCGGCCTCAACCAGGCCCGCAAAGCACCGTGCAGCCAGCCACAGCCCTGCCGCGGCCTTGCAGGGCCGACACCGGGCTGCCCGGCGAACACGCGCACCCTGCCAGCCGCGCCTCGCACAGCAGGCGCGACGCCACCGCCCCTTGCATGCCAATCACTGCCGCAGTGACGCGGGCGGCGGCCGCACGTCCGTCCCACCAACACAAACATCCCCACTGTTGGTTACCTGTGGCACCTGCCCATCAAGAGCAGCCCCCGAATTATCACTTAGAGGGCCGCCCCTGGGGCGCTGGCGCCCCCTGCAGCTGCACGTCTGACAGGCTGCGGACAATCTCCTCACCCTGGCCCGCCCCGCCCCGCGCCGCGGGCGCCACGCCGCCGCGCCCC